ACATGTACATGTACACCAAAGATCATTCTGGCTATAACAAATTTAAAGTGCACACATCGCATTCTGTTCAATATTGGGAGAAAAGCCCAGAAAACTGGTTTTAATTTCCAACAACGCAAACCTGACTTTCATGTATCGAACCTACACATGAATCTATGTACGTGTACATGTAGCTGTCTTGCAAATAAATACCACAGGATATTCCCAGGAGCTTGAACAAGGCTTGTAGATTTGAGGTCAAACACAGTGTGACACATGTTAACAGTTATAAAACTTAAAAATAAGTTTTTTTCCTTGATCGTTTATCTAGATGATCCTTGGAGAATAATAAATAACATTTCCTTAAAATTAACAGTTTCTACCGGTACTGTAATGTTCCATGATTTCACCGGATGACGGACACCAGTACATGTACAATTGTACATATACCATTATTCATGCTTACTGACCTTCAAGAAACGTGTGGCTTTCTGCAAGTTTCCATGACCCATTTTAATTAGACCGGCGTCAAGCTTTCAGCTTGCCTATGAAACTACTACAATGTGCACATGTACGGCACATGTAATGTCAACAAGTTTCTACCCACTGAAAAGTTGAATGTGAAACCAAATATCACATTTAGTGGTACCGCATAGATGTATCATACATGGAACAGCTTGAAACTTTGAGATGAACTCATGGCAGCACAGATTGACTTTTACAGAAATGGAGACAGTTAGAGCAGTTGGCATTTTTTGTGGCATCAGAAAGTACAATTCACGATTAATGATATCAATCTCCTTGTACGTGTACAATGCCCGCTTGGGCAATGTTAGTCATGAATCAGAGCATGCACAAGAAAACAATCTATTTTTATATTTGTCTACAAAGAAAGGAAATGAACATACCCAAATGGACTACAGCTTTTTATCGAGGAAAACATCAAATAGATGCAATTTTAGGAAAGACTTAAATTACTTTGATACTAAATAGTGAACACTTCCATGCATGGTAACAGTGCCATTCATGTACAGAAACATAAAGTACATACAGTACATGTATGACAGTTGAACAACCGCGTACAGTTCTCTTTTTTTTGAAAACTGTGAATTCCACACTCACGTCTGTTGGCAGATTTTATTTGATACAAGTTCATCCTTGTCCAAAAAAAAACAGTTTTTTGTTAATTCTCAGTCTTCAAGTACTGGTACCAACCTTTCATTCGAACCTCTGCAGTTGCACAGTTCCTCAGCCACACATGCTTCTTTGCTTCGCAGGGGCTTGGTTGGGCCTACTTTCATCCCTCTGCCTGATGGGGGTAAACCTGGTGCAACATGATGCCTTGAGATGCTCCACAGTTGTCCTTCAAATTTTTCTTTGGGCCCCTCTGACGAATTCATAAGAGCACTGGGTATCTCCCGGTTGATGGATCCAGTTTTAGCAATGACATCTTTTATGAGATCTTCAGGGCCAAAAATACTGATTGCCTCTGGCTTCTCAGATGAAACACAATCGGCACTAACAGCGACACTGTTAGTATTAAACGGCTCATCATTCGTTTGCTGCTCTAAGGCACTATCAATACTGCAGTTTGTCACAAGGGGTCTTCTGCGTTCGTCACTCGGCCCCTTGAAGGTTGGGCTCTTTCGGATAGCAGTCAGGATTTCAGAGTCTTCTCTGTTGGCAAATCGAGGTACAATGCTCTGAGTGGCAAAATTCCAACTGCGCGGGCTTCCAGACCGACCTGGTCGCAATGCCACAACAGGTGGCATCTCTCGCATCTTCTTGTTGCGGAGATTTGAGTCCGGTCTGGCACGAACACTAAACTTATCCACATTCTTTGAAATGGCCGCGCTCTCTAAAGGTGCCTCACCACCCCTCTGAACACTACCATCATTAGTACAGGCACTGTTGCCCGTTTCCATTTCAGTAACAAAATTTGTTTTCACACATGTAACTTTAGTAGTTCTCTGATTAATATGCTGCGAAATCCTCCTGTCAGACAAGCTCAGTGAATCCCTTGGACCAGGATGTATTTCTTTGCTTTCATCAGTTGACTGAGTCCTTAGCAGGTGCCCTGCTCTGAATCTGTTGGATCCCAGACCTCCAGCGTGGCTTGATTCAGGGATATCAATGGTTCTTCCTCTCTGTAAAACCCTTTGTTTGCTGGCAATGACACTACCCTGCCTTGTTTCGCCATAACCCTGGGATTTCCCCAGGAAGGCTGGATGATCTAACCGGCCATCCTGTTGTTGGTGGTGATTGTTGCCATGACCCCAATTGTTATCCCGCTTATCTGCATTCTTGATATGGTGTTCAACCCGACTGGCCTTGATCTCAGTCACTCCTGACCTCTGATCTGGGAGGTCTGTTCTAGTTCGAATCCGGAACTTATCTTCTCCAGGGGTACTGGAAGGGTCCATCCATTCAAAATGGTTGTCTTGATCTTGAGTATCATCAAGATCGTCTCCGGGAGAAAGCTCACTCTCGAAGTCTTCAAAACAGTACAACTCAGCACCATCCATTGTACTGTAGATTCTGAAGTAAAAATTAAAACCAAAGAAACAAGTACATTTTATAATCAAACCTTCCTTTGCTTTAGTTTTCTAATTTCAAGCTCATGTTCAAGAATAAAGCTGACAAAGGAAACAGTGGCTATGCCAAGTCCAGTACAAATGGTAACTAAGACCAAACATCCTTTCCACAGTTACAGAGCGTTAACTTTCTCATTCAACTTTTTTATCTTTTTTTTTCTTTTTCAGTCATCATCCTTCAACCAGTCGACTTTGGCAATTTGCTTAATCCCAATCAACTTCTAACTTGGAAGACCTTCAGACAACCATCCAAGGATTTGTGTGGAACAAATTTGTGATGATGATGTCATCACGAAAATTGTTTATTGACTTTTTAATATTTAATTGTTTCCCATGGGGTTTGTACACGTTCTCCCATCAATCGACTTTGGCAGTTAACTAAATCTGATCGACTTCCAACTTGGCAGAACTTCAGACAATTATCCAAGGAAATGTGTAGAACAAATTTGTAATGATGACGTCATCATCTCATTTGTTATTGATTTCTGAATATTTAATTTTTTGCTGTGGGGATTGTACACGTTTTTCTACTACACACTGTTATTGAGTTTAATGAGTGAGTAGTCTTCAACTTCGACAGAGAATTACTACCAGAATGAAAGATAAACAAGACTAAATTTCACTTCCGTTCGATTGCAAATGTACCCAAGAGTCAAGACATCAAGTAATATTTCACAAAAATTTTTCAGTTTAAACGCAAATCATGTGACATCAACCGACAGGGGCAGTTTCTCTACATGCGTGTTTTAGCCAATTGACTTTGTACACGTTTTCAAGCCACCATTTGGGTAATTTTGAGATGTTTGATCATCATCAAAGTTACAGACAATGAAGACCCTGATAAAAGATTTTGTTAAATTTATGACGTCGTGATGATGTCATCACCTATTTTTAAATTGATGTGTCTTCAGCACTCTGGTCAATCTGACTTATTTCTTTAAATGTACACTTGAAGTCCATCATGAAGAGACTCCCAGGGAAAAATTGTCAAAATCACATTATTAGGGGTCACACGACCTTAAATTAAAGCTAAAGTTTTTTCCATAGGTTTTGTACACATTTTACAAATGAAAACTCATGAGTGAGTAGTCATTAATTCCGGCTTAAGATTACTATGAGAACGAGAGAAATCTTATATTTTACGCTATGTTATTTTAATAGAAATATACCCAAGAGTATAAATATCAAGTAATATTTCATAAAATGCTTTCAGTTTAAACGGAAATCATGTGACATCATCTTAAAGGAGCAGCTTCTCTGCATAGGTGTTTTTAGCACATTGACTTTGTACACATTTTCAAACCACCATTTTGGTAACTTTGCGATGTTTGCTCGTTATCAAAATGATAGCCAAAAAAAAACCCTGACACAAAAATAATTGTAATCATCTGATTTATTAATGATTTTTTAATATTTCTTTAAGCCCACTGACTGTACACGTTTTCAAGCCACAATTTCAGTAACTTTGAGATGTTTGATCATCATAAAAGTTACAGCCTTGATAAAATTTTTGGCTGAATTTATGACGTCATGATGAAGTCATCATAATTTTTTAATTGATTTTTGAATACTTCATTTTCCAAGAGCCAATGTTCAGCACTCTTGTCAATCTGATTGAATTAGGTAACATTAATGAAATATTAATGTTCACTTTTTGTTCTGATATTTTCATAGTTATATTTTTTGAAGTGCTTTCTCAAAACGCCGAAACAGTCTGTGCTTGTTTTAACCTCTAGTCTTTCCTAAATTTATATACTATGTACACGTACATGTATACATGTACATGTAACAGGTTCATAAAATGTTGAATTACACTGTAGTCTGTACACTGCAAAGGTACCCATTTCAAGGAATACGGTCTGTATGCAAGTTTCTATTGCAATCATATGCAATGTCTACCAGTAGTTCTCCCAAGCACTTTAAGTCTTCATCCAAAATGCTGATATTTTGGCCCGTCCAACAGGCATAGCATGGCTCTGAAAGATTTGTACGTTTGTTCTTGTTTCTTTGGTTTTCAAATGATCTTTATTTACAAAATTATTTCGGACAGAAAGTATTTAAAAGGTTACATTTATTTTAACTATACACATACTCGTACTTAAGCCAAAATATAAGACTTACACTTGTAAACGTCTCAGTTTCATTTCTCATCCAAACATTTGTAACTTAATGTTTCTACATGTATAGTACAGCATATTGTAAAAGCAAGGTATTTAGCACTCACTCAGTTTTCCTGAATTCCCTTTGAACAAGTGCTTAGACTTACACATGCAAAGGTCTCAATTCATTTCTCATCCAAAGTAAGCACTTGTTTGAAGGGAATTCAGGAAAATTGAGTGATTGCTTAACACCTTGCTTTTACAATATGCTATACTATAGATGTAGAACCATTACCACTTAGACACAATGTATGATCCAGACAAGAACCATACATATCACCACATTGTACATGTTCATGTATATGTATGCTGTACTGTACAAATTAAGAGTAAAATCTTCTTAATTCCTTGTACCTTAAACCCACATACATCCATCTGGCATTCCATGTGGAATCATTCACTTTTGTAAAGTACTGAGTTCACAAAAGCCTTTTCAAGGATGCTCACCACCACCACGCAAATCCTACAAAACACCCCATCCAATCACTGATTTTATGACCTACAAAATGTATGTTAAGCCTTAAACCTACTTGGGAGTTTGTGAAGGTCTTTGTGTCAAAAGAAGGAAAGCTCTTGCATTACCGATTCATAATTGAACTTTTTTAGAATTCAGCTGTACAATTTATATACACGTGTACACAGGCAATGTACAGAGCAGTTAAAGTTACAGTCTGATATGCAATGTCATTTTCTGACCATTCAATTTATTGAATTTTTAGAAAAACCCAGCAAAATACATGTAGTTTTATAGACCAGGCCTAGTTGTTTAAATAAGATAGATAATATTGACATGTAGTCAATCACTAGTAGTGCATGTACATGTACATGTACATGTACTAATACGGTACACATGTACATGTTCTTCCTTACCAAATGTGTATTCAGAGTAACAGAATTTGACTTTTCATTCAGTATCTCATGAGACCTTGATATACAGTACATGTATGGGAAAATTAAAATCTGATGATGTGGAAGCATTTTGGGTGTTTGATTTCATTCTCTGATGTGCTCTAACATTTTGTCTTGATACCTGGACTGTATTAAGGTCTAAAACCCTCTCTGGCTGCCCATACAGTACAGTGTACATACATTTCCATAAGCCAACAAGTCCTTTAGAAATTTCTTTCTTTGCTTTCTTTTCCAGGGGGGTCTTTTTTCTCTTTTTCTGTTTTCTTTTTGTATTTTTGGTGGTACACATATATGTATAAATTTTCTAAATAGCCAAGACAGTCAGGTGACTTACACTGTATACAGTATGTTACAAATTTCACTAGGCTCTAGCACTTCCTACCTCTCTGCCAATACACCAAGAAAAACAAAAACATAAAAACAAACTGTCCAAGTATTAATTTCACCCTTTGGGACAGAAAGCACCCGTTGATTTATTATTGATAAGGTAATATAATACACATAGGTAATATAATATACATACATGTACTTCCTTCACTTCCGCATATGTACCAGTACACAAGTCCAGCAGTAACACTACTGAATACCCTAATCAGCTGGATATAAAACTCTTTCCAGGGTTGAAATTGAACAATGATAAAAATAGCTGAAAACAGCTGAAAAAGGCATAAAGAAGAAGAACTGTGAAAATTTCCTAACACTTTGGTAAACTGCCAGTGAGGAAAACAAGCTGAACTCCAAAACAAAAAAGCTGAGAAATCTCACTCATCTTTCAAAAGTGTTCACAGAGGAAAAAAAACATACATTCACTGCACTCATCTTATTTATTCTCATATCTAAATACTAGTACCTCCCTCTCCTTTCAAAGCTAATGCTAATTGTATGGCTTCATGCAGTAATTGCAAGAGTAAATTAACAGCTATAAATAGAAGGCACTGATCAAGAAAGTACATGTACACTGTACTTGTACTCAGTGGCGATCCGTGGTTAAAAGACATCAGATGAAGGGCTATCTGAAAAGGGCAATCAAAGTATGTACACCGTACATATTCTGAGACAAAATGAGTTGATGTACTGTACATTAAGACAATAAAATATACTAATTTGTTTCTGCACTATCAATAAAAAAAAAACAAAGACAGAGAAAAATACGTACCAGCACTAAACAGGTTCTTAAAGCAGTATCAGTGGCCTAATTGCTGGTTCGTGACACAGCTTGCTATTAAGCAAATTCATGAGAAAGGGCTGTTTACACACAAACAGCAGTTTGCCTGCCTACATCTGTTACATTTGCTCATTGATTCTCCCACTGTTGATCAGACCACCAATGAAAAGATGTTTTGCTTCACAGCTAAGTCGATAATCCAGTTAATCAATACAGAGCCTTAGTCATCAGTCAATGCCCCTGTAACTTGAATTAAATACCTGTAAACTCCTTCAATACAGTGGGCTGCATGCAGGGACAGAGTTACATGTACATTGTATACATGTAAGTCTGGATTTCGAAGGACGAAGTCATGGGATCAGTTCTCAACCCACCAAAGACTTGACAGAACATCAAAGCTGCCTCACCTCCTTCCATCCTTTCCATTAGTATATCCTCCAACAATTTCACAAAAAAGTTTATTCCAAAAAAATTTTGATCCATTAAAGTACTACTAGTCGAAGTTAAGGTACAACTCTAAAAGAAGACATATTTGGCATCCAGTTTTTAGACAGCTGATAAATTTTTCCAAGCAACAGTCTCAGGTTTCTTAAGTTTGCCTTTATACAGTTTCTCCTTGTACCCATTATTACTAATAACCTTAAGGATGTGACCAATTACAAAGAAAAGCTTGAAACTTTGTCGTACTCAGTGTAGAAGAGAAATCAAAGG